AATGTAAGTCAATCACATACTGTGCTGGCGGGTGTTGACTCTCGTATGCAGGCGCCATGCGCATAATCGTCACCGCGCGTCAAACTCTTACCCCTGTCTATCAACAAGTGCTCCAGCGATTGGTCACTATCCTTGGTGTCATTGCAAAGAACCCGAGCAATCCCAATTTCGACCAGTACATATTTGAAAGTATATCGGCGCTGTTGAGGTATGTTTTCGCTTCATACTAGGAACCCTGGCCGACACTCTGTTTACAGGTTTGTTGTGGGCGGTACACCTTCCACTCTGCCTACGTTCGAGCAGACGCTCTTTGGCCCTTTCACGTTTATTCTTCAACAGGACATAGACCGTAAGGAGCTAAAACCTGACTTATCCCTCATTTCTGACTTCACCACCTAGAGTATATCCCTTACGTTTTCCAAATTCTCGCTCAGATGCTAGAAGCTCACAGCTCTGGCGTGCCATCCGAATATCGCTCCCTCCTCCCCTTCCTCCTGACACCCACATGCTGGCAACAAAAGGGCAGTATCCCTGGTCTCGTGAAGCTCCTCAAAGCATTCCTTGCCCGTGACGCTGCTGAGATGGTTAAGACAGGACAGATCACAGCCGTGCTGGCCGTCATCCAGCAACGCCTGATACCCTCCAAAATCAACGATGGTTGGGGCTTTGAACTCCTGCAGGGTGTAGTGCAGCATGTGCCTCCGTGAGTTTTCTGTGTTCTTATTATGGTGAAACGGGAATTTACAGTATTGGCTGGTCAGAGCGCAGCTAAAACAGTACTTCAAGGCAGTCGTCATGACGTTGCTCACAAGGATGCAGACGAGCAAAACGGACAAATATGTATATCTTTTTTCCCACTTCCTTCTCTTCACAATGGCCGTTAATGTTGACGGGCTTGGGCCGGACTACGTCATATCCGCTATCGAAGAGATTCAGACGCAGTAAGGCACATGTTACTCTTCAAGTCTGTCACATCGCTCATCTATTTCATTTTGCAGGCTTTGGTCGCAAGTTCTTGTCAACTTCATCATCCCGCAGGTGCCAAAGATGCCACACAAAGACAGGAAAGTCGCAGCTGTCGGCCTCATCCGCATGCTCACGCAGAGCAGGATCATGCTTACGCCTCCAAGCACGCAGAGCTGGTGAATCGCACCCCTTTCCCTTTTTACTACTAACTCACGTCCCTTTCACAGGCACCCGGCATTTATCTCCGTCATCAAGCTCTTCAGCGAGCCACAGTATCTCGCCAAGTCTAAAGACGAAGAACAAAGTACTGGCATAACGGAGATTGACTTCGAGGAGCAGACTGCGGGGTATCAGGCTGCATATTCCCGACTCGCGGCGGCAGACGGCGCACCTGTGGACCCCGTGGCATATGTGCGCAATCCTCAAGACTTCTTAGGGCAGGCACTGGTGAAAGCGGACCCACGCGTGAGGGGGTTGCTGGCTACAGGTGATGAAAAGGTAGTGCAACCATTTGTGCAGGCGCTTGTGGCGTCTGGGTATGCGATCCAGTAAATTATATAGCTGGGAGTGGCTGCTGCGTCTTTGCGGCATCATTTGTGTGACAGGAAGGACGACACTACACTTATGCTGATGGATATGCGTGTGTAATGTATGTGGATAGCTAGCCAATGCGATACCGATTTGACTTGTGCAATTGCGACGAGGTAAAATGCGCGCACACAATTGAACCACGTCCATAATGCATCTTTTGCAGTGACCGCTCCGGCTCATCATGCATTGCCACGACTGCCACCAATCGCGACTCACCTATGAAATTACTGTACATGGTTGAACGTTGTAAGTCGGCATTTTGGAACAATCGTGCATGTCAAAACACGTCCAAGGAAAGGATGGTTTAAATATTTATGTTGCGTTACCAACAACACGAACTTCATTTATAATACACAAGGCACCGGTCGACAAGATTCAGAGGAGCAAATACATATGTATATATTGGCAACCCTGAAAAGATATCATATAGATCAGACAGATCCCAGTCCCCATTTGTCGCAACAGCTACCCGAGTAATGTCGTCGAACTTTCCATACTTGAGCCCAGGACGGCAAGCAAGTTTACACGAAAAGTCCAGGCACTTTATGTAAGGAAGAAAGAAGGACATCGGACATCTGAGGTGCACGCTAGTACATGTCCATCCTTCGGTCCTTTGAAAGTTCGGTCCGACATGGTCCATAGAGCCAATAAATCCTTTTGAGTATAAGAGCATCATTAGACTACTACGATGCTACAGGTTCCTTGAGCCCAAGCCCTGGCAACCTCGGAAGATCCACGAAGACGATGAAAACATTAACTCTGCGTCACCATCCTGGTAGAACTTCCGAGGCTGCCAGGGACTTGCAAGTCTGAGGAGGTCCGTGCTCGTTGAGTCCAATAGTTTGAACAGACTGCAAGAGGTGAAAATAAGCAAGAGATAGAAGGTAACGACGACGGAGAGCAAATACCAACGTTTTATATACCATGGCCCATGCGCACAATCAGTTGAGGTGGATATGTAAGACCGTTTCAAGAGCTTGATGTAATAGATCCTAGGGCAGATCAGGTCGTCAGGGAAACAAGGTTCCGAGGGACTTTAGGGTGGTATTGGCAGGTGACAACTTCTTTGTGCTCAGAGAAGTTGCTGAATTGAGCGTATGACCGAGTATCAGGGTTGTCAAAGAAAAGCGTCGGATGATACATTAGAATGCCATGGAGATCGACAAGCCTGTAGTGTAGAGGAATGTGGGGTAAAGGGGCCCTGTTCGATCCGAATAAAGTATTTGAATCAGGAGTCAGTACGACTTGAGGGAACCGAGTAGCATAATCGCGCGCATTCGTGACAAATATTCCACTGTGAACCAACCTTCTGACTGTTTTGGAAGAGTGGATGTCAAACTTGGACCATGCGTGGGCTCTGTCCCTCAAGGATTTGTAGACGCGTGGAAGTAGGAGTGAGGTTCGAGCTGTCCGTCACAGTGTGTGGGACAGGGAGCAACTGTTGGCCACCCGGGACTTCAACGATGTACTGAAACTCAGAAGAGGACATGTATGTCTGGGGAAGAGCCTGACATACCTGCAAGAGCACCCTTAGTATAAGAATCCATCTGGGGCAAAAATGACATCCATAAGGTTGTAGATTGTCGCACACTGATGTACAACGAATAATATCTGGAGGCCTGTATTGCGTGTTCAGCTTGCATGCTAGGTAGGAGGGACAATACTTGTACCTGTTCGTGAAAATCGAAAGCTTCGGGAATGCTGGCGTAATGTTCTTTAGTACTGATTCGGATCGGATACTCAGCGCTTAGCTGAGACGTCACGATCATCGTCTGCGGGACGGTCATGTGAACGTCACACACGACGTCAGAGGTAGGCGCAGGTGGAGCAGAATGGTACTCGACGAGTACGGACTCCTGCATGAGGTTAGAGATGAAAAGTGATTGCAGTGGGCATTGTTAGCTGGAGGAGGTCCAATCGTATGCTTACACTGGTCACTGTCTCATTCTCACGTCTTCCAGCCGAGCTCCTCCCATCCTTCAATGGTACTTCCAATATTATTAATCGATAATCCTTTGTTGACATACTCATCCGAGGTTTTGCATATCTTGACAACCAAGTCCGCCTCTCGGATCGAAGAACCATCACAATGTCCCAGCATTCACCTCCACCGTAATGCGTCGCTTTCTTCATGGACGGCGAGCACACCCCTAGCGGAGGTTGTGATAATAAGATTTTACAGAGAGCATGACCTAAGCAGTGTAAGCACGTTAAATCCAAAGCATGTTTGGAGTCATCATCTTTGGCACTCATAACCGAGTTCGAGCATACTTCATGCAAATCCTCGCCATCATCAACACGACAGCCCGCAATGCACTGGCATGCATCGCTGCCCACTCACGCAATATATCGACACCGCTTCCAGCGACTATCAATCCTATCGCAATCGCTCATTCGTTTCTTTTTCAGGATGTGACGAGGTGTGAAATACTGAAACATCACGAGTCCCTTGGTACGAAAGGCTGGCTTCATCATGATATAGTGCGTCAGCACGCCCAGGCCTCTTGGACTGTCCACGTCTCCAAAGTCTAGGATGCAAGGACAGCATCTGACGTTGTATTCACATTCACGAACAAAGGTTTAGAAACTTTCCTTCTCTTCTTTTTGATTGATGTTTGTCTTGCGTACTTATCGCTTCATTCTGTATATCAGGCTATCGCCCTCTCCCATGGAGATCAAAGTAGAGAGGCGATGTTACTCGTTATAGAGCTATCTTCCGCTTGTCCGAACCATGATATATGATATCTTTGCATGTTGTGTCTTGGAAGTGAGCGCTTAAGAGGCTTAAGCATCGGCGCTGACATTTACAACCTCACACATCAAGCATGATATGAGCATGTTCAGCTCGAAATCGATGCCTTGGACCGCATACGTCATGACAAAGTCACTGCTGCTGTCCGCTCCAACGCCTTCCCATCGGGGCCGGACCTTCGCTCTTGGTGATATGTCGGTAATAACGATGCTTGACATGCATACCCGGTACTTTGTCCAGATCTTTGGATGGAACCTCAGGCTTTCAAGTCCTCGTTGCTGACTGCACGCCAGCAACGGTACCAGGCTCTCCTGTTGGCAGATACACTGGACGAAGCCCTCGAATCACACCTGACTACATCATTTCTCGTCTTTCCATGACTCGCATCAAGCTTGGCGTATGCAGTGTAAGCGGCATGTTAAGCGATAAATCGTACAACTCAACTGCAGGTTACTGTGTGCTACTTTCCGATCTTCGACCAAAACTCACAAATCACTTTTGTCAAGGTTCGCTGACAGTGAAAGTACATACATATATACAGTCACCCTCGTCTTCACATCGATTGCTAACGGGTGTGATAGCGAACAACTGCTTGTCCAGGAGACAGAGTAGCCAAGTGGACTAGCGCATCCTAGCACGATCTCGGCGATCGCGCTCTGGAATCTCTGATGGCGAGAACTCGCACTCAGTCATCCGAACTTGTTTTTATTTTTGCGGCTTCCGCCATGACCTCACGAGTCGCTGTACAGGACTATACAGTATACATATGTACTTGTTTTAAGTCGACGTCATCTGCATATGCCAGCAGTATTGAATTTTTTGGCAGTTCAACTGGCGGTGAAATGATGCGTCTGGTCTATCTATCTTGTGCTGGGGTGAAATAATGTACAGTGCAATGTTTATGTCCTACAAAAGGTTTCAACTTAGAATTGTATGTGGGGTAGTCCTCGTAGTACAACTCACAGCTAGTTTCAAAATCTACCTCAGTGGGTATCACACAATGCGGCGCGGGAAGTATGCTAGAGGGACCTGAAGTTTGCATCATGCCAGTTCTGAAGCAATGGTGTAGATGCTGGGACAAGCGTACTGCGATGGCGTCGTGTCAGGTACAGTCAGCACCAGGGAACATCGGGATCACCTACGTCGTCATTATCAACCAGCTCCCGTAGCTCAAGACGAGAGTTAAGACTTGTAGGGGTGAGGCTTTGGTTATCGAGGCGGGGAAATGGACTTACACACTGAGAAAACTATTTAGATAACCTGCAACACGGGTGAATAAGTTTACGATAAAATACAAGCGGGGGACGTACAGTGACTCATGAGGATGTATGGTACAAGAAAGGCACCATTGTGGGGGCAGACGAGAAACTGAAAGAGAGAGTTTGTGAGTGGGATCGCTTCTCCCGTTGAGATGCATACCAGTATGAGAAAGAGTGTGACATCTACACTGAAATGACGAATCAGTCATGAAACAGCGTTGTACGAGAGACACGATTACGTAGTGATCAAGCCCACATTGACAACAAGCACGGTCAATCTAGTGATGAGACCACCGAGTCTTGACAAAAATGAGACGACAAGACTGAAAAACGATGGATGGGACGGACCTTCCTATCCCGGTCCGGGACTTGTGAAAGAAGTACACTTGTGTAGCGGCAATTAGGAAGTCACATGCCATCGAAGATAAGTAAAAACTAGAAGCCGGCAGCTGAGGGTCGCATAAGGTTGTAGAAGCTGATAGATTTGAAGGTGAGCTTACGTTGCTGACGTGAGTGCTATCCCACAGGGGATCACGGACACTTCGAGATATGTGAACGTTAATTAATCCAGTGTTGGACCAAGTGAACTCACGTTTTGACAACCATTGCTGCAATCGATTTGAGTAAGATGTAACATAGAGTGGAATTTAAGCGTACCTCCGCCAGATCCTGTGTGTAAGTTATGTGAATCAGCCATATCGCGCTCAGAGTAGATGATTATTTTACCTAGCGCGGCCAATGCCAAAAGGACCTGCGGCGCCGGCACTATGAGTAAACTGGGATACGAATGCAGACTTCTCCGACTTACTATGAAAAATGTGACTAGAATGTTTCCAAAGCTAACTAGAGGATTTTGAGTGTAGATTCTCGAGATTGTGGGCTTAAACCTCACGTCGCCATATACGGTGAGCATATGTCCTAAAAGGCGGAATGAGTGCTTATCGCCACGAAGTAAAAATAACAGACGTACAATTGCACCAGAAAAGCTATTATTGACTATGACAGAGTAAGGATGCTTCTGATTGAAAGGGACGTTGAACGACTTACAGTAATGCCCATTGATGCCTGTGAATGAGTTGTTACGACACTATGATATGATGAAACGAGAGAAGCCCACCTCAAACGTTCTAGTAAAAAATGAGTATAAGCGGAACGACAAGTGTGAAATGACATACTTTGATACATGTGATGACATTGTAATGTCACCCTGCCAAACTATGGTATAGTGATATATTGATGCGGCGACAAGGGCGAGCTGTGCTGTATCTAACGTCCTAGGGAACGATTTCAGAGTGCAGATCGAGTTTCAGAGTGAAGTGACGAACCACAGAAAGGCTACCTGAAAAAGACGCTTGAGATTTGCAATTGGGGATGGGGTACGTGATATGCTGTGCTTACCAAGGCCTTCATACACCATCTGTCTTTTGGAAAAGTTCGGAAATACCGCCAGGTCTGGGCGAGAGTAAAACCATAGAACCTAATAAAAAGATGATGATGAACGATGTGGGGATATCAACTGGAATAAGCTCACATGCTAGAGATGATGACACCTGGTAGCGATCAGTAGGGTGTCATGGAGGGATTGAATGTGATACTAACCAATGAAATGTGAAGCTAGGACGGCGAGAGTATCGTTCATGGTGGGGGATGTAAGGAGCGTGAAGGGATGGAGGATGAGGGTATAAAATACAAGATGAGGATCAATTGAGATGGATATACATGCCGTGGTCTACGGACGACATGAACGACTAGAGAAGCTAAATTACATAGAAGGGGTACTCCGACCTCCGCCAAAAACAGTACTCTCGAGAATTATCAGGCCCATCATGTATGAAGCCTAATTCAGTTTAGATTTAATATTAATTGTTTTATGATACTCGCTCAGTCCATTCACATATAACGTTGCTCGCTCCATCATACAAGTCGCGCAAAGTTTAACCCGAGGAGATCAATGCAGGATCAGCTTAATTACTAGGCGGAACTTCATTCCGGCTATAGCCGGAGTCTGCGACAGGCGTCTGATCAGACTTACTCGCTTCGCTTCGTACCTCGAACCCCTTTGTCCTCGGTACTCAAAATTTCACACTCAAGTTACACAACGATGTTTGGCTACGCGCCATCGAATAACACCCGAATGACTCTCTCCCTTTACCGTCATAGATTCTAAACGCTTGCACTGCAATTGCGTAGTGTCTCCCGCCAATTCATGTGGAATCATGGATGGCCATTGGCGGGTGAGTAGGTCCCTGACCTCTCAAGGGAATAGGTGATATATGACACTTGACTGACCACTGCCAGACTTACATTCAAGATATCTGGCATGGTCACATCCCCCCTGGTTCCCGCATGATTGTAACACTCCCTGACGATGTCGCCTCAACAGGCAACCCGTGGGACGCATATGCTCTTGTCATATCACCTACGATGCACGCACCAGATGATGACAGTTGGCACCAGGATCTTGTTTACAATATCATGTGGTTGCTTTTAGTGCAACTCGAGCGGTGGAATAAAGCCTCTGATGCGGAGAACCGTCTTAAGATTCAGATGGTTTTGATGACAGGGCTTGGAACAGCATTGAAGTGGCAAATGCGCACAGCAGATGGATGGCACGTGCGGTAAAACATCTTCGTCTGCCCTTGGCTGACCGCGTGTGTTGGAATGACGTAGAACAGCGCGCAAGGGGCGTCCGAGCCACGACAGACTGCCAGAAACGCAAGTTTTTTTTTTTGACAACGCTAGGGCGCTAGGATCGTGTGTACCGCTCACATTATTAGTAGCAGCTCCAATCTTGGTCTTTGCAGGAGCTTCTTCCCTCGCCCTGAATTAAATAGATTACCCTTTGGTGCGACTTCTCATGCATGCCTGGTATGATTCACCTGTCTGATTGATTGTTCCTTCGCTGCATCGCACATCCGGCAAGTGCTTCACTTTTTGATGCGATTGGGCATCTTTCATACAGGATATACATAGTACAGATATATTTCTAGGAACATTCAGCCAGTTTTCTTATCCGCTCTCGCGCCTGCTGGCTTCTGCGTTTGGGCTGTTCCAGACTATGTCGAACTTGTAGCTAATAAAGTGGGAGACAACAATTCATTCTGGACACTTGCACTTCTGCATGGGCGATGAATCCAGTGCAATTTGACCAAAGTCGAAAAGACGCATCGAAGTAGGCACAGTCTGGCCCAAGTCTGGCCTTTAAGTTTGTCGAAAGAAGAACACGATAAATATCAGATAACGTCCCACAGGATACCATTTTCCTTATTTCGACTAAACTTTTCTTTCGTCAATCGGAAAACGGCGCTGCCATAATGTCCTATGCCACGTTTGCCTAGACTCCGCCACTTGACTTGTCCGTGGTTATATAAGCCAGGCTGGTCCCGAGCCTAACTGTAGCGGCGTACCTCGAAAAACTGAACTCACGGTGATCCTAACGTAGCAGCTATATGTCGTCACATGCGCTTATGGTCGGTTTGTTCCACTGTAGAATGAATGCAATCAGATATACCCTTTACGGCGTAGTACAGCATCACAGGTCGAGTACCTCCAGGAAATTATTCAAAGGTGGCTCAGCATGTAACATGATGCATCAAAATAGGTTAGGTTAGCAACAAGATCAGCACTATGTACTACTCAAGCCCATGGTACTGATATCTCCTTTCGTCTGATTGATGTAGGTGTCAAATTAAGAAAAAACTGGCCAAAGTTGCACCAGTGTATGATGTTATCAGATATGGAATCCGCCGTGTGTGTCAACCGTCAGACGATCTCATGAGACTCTGGCAGGTACAAACAAATCTGGGCTGGTGCGGCAAGTGAGACAGGAAGGACTAATGCACATAGTCCGGGTGACAATGCAAGGTGTGCAGCTCTGATGCTTTCGGGGGAAATTACTATCGTGTGTTCAGCACGGACTGGCATCGCCCCGGGCATGTAGGACATCATGGAACCTTGCTGTAACAATAGTCCGTGTACGACCTACTAGTGTGATAATCGGCGAACGTGGAAAGCGATAAGCGACAGCTAATAAACCCCCTTGCGGTCCTACACAGAAATCAACTGATAGCGGGCAAAGTCCTATTTACTAACCGGGATAAGTATCTGCCAAAACACGATCAACCATTTCCACGGACAATCCCGTGTAACTAGCTGGATCACAGAGCCCCTCGAGCTCCTCTTTCGATAGCCCGCTCTCCCGAACTTTATCATCCGCACAAAGCAGTGTCAACAAGGGGAGATCCTCCTGGACGCTCCGCCTACACAGCTCGTAAACCAAATCGTGCGCAAATTGTCGTCCCAATTTTGGAGCGAGGCCCATCATGACAGCCTCACTTACCACGCCACCTCTTGTGATTTCCAGATTTCTCTTCATAGCGTCTGAATGCACTTCCAACCCTGTAATAAGCTCGGACGTATGCAATAACACAGCGTGCGTGAGAGTGCATATCTGCGGGAGAACAATCCACTCTATCTCCCAAGGCCCCGTCGCGCGCTCATGATCCTCAACCATAGCATCATACAGCGCTGCAGAGAGCTGACGGACAGTCGCACCCATGGCAGTGATATACACGCTGGAGATAGGATTACGCTTCTGTGGCATCGTCGAAGACGAACCGCGATGTGGATAGAATGGCTCCGAGACCTCTCCGACTTCCGTTTGCATCATGAGCTTGATGTCCGTGGCGAATTTGGAACAGGTCCCCGTGAGAAGCGCGAAAAAGCCGCCAACCTCCGCGATACGATCACGTTCTGTATGCCATGCAATCTCTGGGACCGACAAACTCAATTTCTGGGCAAGAGCTGCTTGGCATTCGAGACCCCGGCCATCTTTAATAGTGGCGAGTGTCCCTGCAGCGCCACCGAACTCGAGCACAAGCAGACGGGATTTTATTTCGGCAAGACGTTGTTTGTGGCGTTCAAAGGTGGCGAGGAGGCGGGCCATTTTGAAGCCAAAGGTCATGGGTACGGCTTGTTGAAGATTGCTGCGAGCTACCATGAGGGTTGTTTTGTGAGTTTGGCAGAGACGACGAAGATCCGAGGTAATGGCGTTTAACGTCGCTGAGACTAGATCGAGAGTGTCCCGAAGTTGTAGAATTGTTGCGGTGTCGGTGACATCCTGAGACAATAAATACTTGAAACCCAGTATGACATATGATGTACCTGGGTGGTAGCACCCCAGTGAACCCATTCGCCTAAACCAGGTTGGAGACTGTTTACTTTCTGGACTATTTGTTTGACTACCCCAAGGACGGGATAGCCTATTTTTTCTGTTTGTATTCTTAGTTCATCAAAGTCGATGTTGGTGACATGGCAAAAGGCGAGGATGGCATCGGCAGCCTGGCGAGGAATGATCCCGATATCTGCCTGAACAGATGCCAAGGATGCTTCGAAGAGGAGATAATAGGAAGTACGTTGCGTATCTGACCAGACGGAGGAGATGGCTGGAGTAGAGAATATGTTTCTAAAGATGACAGAGTCAGTTACGGACGACATGGCTACTCATCGATGCTTGAATATTTATGCTTGTTATTAATGAGGAAGAGGTTCGCCATTGTTTTGATATTGTCGCTTCCTAATTAAGAAGTGGAAGGTTAAAGAAGGCCCATCTGTACGACATTTTGAGTAGCGCCTACGCCCGTCGGGTTTGTGGTTCACCACTTAGTTCTTGTCGCTCCACATGCCGAGTACGCTCGTCACCGCAGTCTTCGGGCATGACTCGGGGTGCCCACGGTGACGAACGCAAGGCTCGGGCATGATCCCGGGCATGCATTTGGCGCAGTGCTCTGAAGTGCTTGCCTATTCGGATACCGCTAATTTCAAAGTCCGCGAGGTTCTTGTGTTTCATGCTGTACATATGTATTGTGATCTCCGGATCCATGGAAGGTATCGAATTTCGGTCGAATAAGTATGCCCTGACCGAGTAATGTTTTCCTTTGCCGGTAGACTATTTAGTCTCCCAGTTCTCTCTTTGTTGACTTAAACATTTCCCCTTCCCTTCCTTTACGTTCCTCATCATGAGTCTTCCAGACTCTCAGCTGGAAACTAATGTTCCTCAGGATGAGCCACACCAAGATGAGGCCTACGAAGGCGTTCACTCATCTCCCTCTCGCGTTCCAGTCAATTTTTTTGACCCAGTTGGCGTTAGCGAACTTAAACGCACAATGACATCACGTTCTACACGTTCTCAAGTTAATCATCGGGAAAGCTCTCGTCGCGGAAGTTCACCCAAGCCTCCTATGCCTTCCTCAGCAAAGGGCGTCGACACTCCAAGTTCATCCTCTGTGACTTCCGCATACGATGATGATGCTTTCGATTTTGAAGTCACGCTCAAAGACCTCGTCAGACGGTGAGTTCCGCAATAAAAAAATTAGTTGCCTTTGTTGATATATTACTAGTCGTGGCGAAGAGTCCATTAAGGGCCGTGAGCTTGGCGTTATGTTCAAGGATCTCCGTGTTATCGGTGTCGGTGCACGTGCCTCTTTGCAGCCTACCATCGGTTCTATGTTTAATCCTGCCGCCATCTTGAGAAACATTTCGGCGATGCGCAACCCGCCTGTCAGGGATATTCTCTCAGGATTCGAGGGTGTCGTTGCACCTGGTGAAATGCTTCGTTAGTCGTTTTAATAAACTAACGTAAAGTTGAATTTTCGCGCTAATCACGTGTTCGCGACAGTGGTTCTCGGACGACCCGGTTCCGGTTGCAGCACGTTCCTTAAGACTATTGCAAATCAGCGTGCCGAATACCATGCTATACAGGGCGAAGTATGCTATGACTCCTTCACCCCCGAAGATATCGCAAGACAGTATCGTGGAGATGTGATCTACTGTCCTGAGGATGATGTCCACTTTCCGACTTTGACTGTGGAGCAAACCTTGTCTTTCGCCATCAAAACGCGTACTCCACATGCTCGGTTCACAGACCAAACCCGTGAACAGTTTAATCGTGATGTAGTTGACATCCTCGTGCGCATCTTCGGTCTTCGTCATGCCCGACACACTGTTGTCGGTGATGCTGCCATTCGTGGTGTTTCAGGAGGCGAAAAGAAACGTGTCTCCATTGCGGAAGCACTGTCTTGCCGTGCCCTCATTGGCGCGTGGGATAAGTGAGTTTATGTGTGTTTGTTGTCCATTGGCCGTGGTGCTAATAGTAATATCATTTTAGCTCTACTCGTGGTCTCGACGCGTCCACTGCACTTGAGTTTGTTCAGGCCCTACGTATCGGCACGGATATAGGTCGTCTTACCACTATTGTGTCTATTTACCAAGCAGGAGAGCAGCTTTATGACCTCTTCGACAAAGTATGCGTCATTGCAGAGGGCAAGATGGCGTACTTTGGCTCAGCTAAGGAGGCGCGTCAGTACTTCATTGATATGGGATATGAGCCGCAAGACAGGCAGACCACTGCTGACTTCCTTGTGTCTGGTATGTTCCCTATTGGTTTAGAATGGATTTAGTTGCTTATACAGTGGTTTCCAGTGACCAATCCAAGCGGGCGAAAGATTCGTGACGGTTTCGAGGGCAAAGTTCCCAGAACGTCGGAGGAGATGGCTGCTATGTTCCTAGCTTCTTCTCTTGGTCAGACAAACCGCGACTCCATTGAGAATTACCGCTCCCACAATGTCGGGAAGCCCGAGCGCATAGATGCATACAGGCAGAGTGCCATAATGGAGCACGCCGACACGGCTCCCAAGGCACACTCGTATACGATCTCTATTCCTATGCAGGTTAGAGCCGTCATGATGCGCCGCGTGCAAATTATCAAGGGAGATTGGGGCACTGTAGTCGTCAATCTTGCGTATGTGTGCTGCCAATTTTAGTCCATCAATCGCCTGACCATTAAATTTACTCTAGTGTGCAAATCTTCCAGTCCATCATCATGGGTACTGTGTTCTTGAAGCTCCCTGATGCAACCTCTGGCTTCTTTTCTCGGGGTGGTGTCTTGTTCTTGTGCGTATCTTGCTTGCGAAGTTGCTCAAGTGCATGTGTTTAACCTGTCCTCAGTGCTCTCTTCTTCGGTGCTCTATCGTCCATGGCAGAAATCCCGGCTCTCTTCGCTCAGCGTCCAATTGTGCTCCGGCACCATAAGGCAGCGATGTACTACCCGTTCATTGAAAGTTTCGCACATACAATGGTCGATATCCCGTTCACATTCGTTATTCAAGCTGTGTTCGTGGTTATTCTATATCTCCTGGTCGACCTTCAGAGAACAGCATCTCAATTTTTGTGAGTCTTGCCTTTTGATGCAACTGTTGAGTCTCGCTCAATGCATGCAGCATCTTCTTCCTCTTCGTGTTTGCTATGACTACCACTATGAAGGCATTCTTTAGAATGGTTGCTGCGTGCTTTAAGACTGAATCTGCGGCCACGTCTCTTGCTGGTGTCGTGGTGGTAGTAGTGGCGCTCTTTACTGGTTATACGATTCCCAAACCCGACATTCCAGCTGCTCTCCGCTGGATTATGTATATCAACGTACGTTTCTGGATCGCGATCTTTGGTATGCATACTCACCGCTAGTGTACAGCCCGTGCGCTATGGTTTCGAGGCTCTGCTGACGAACGAGTTCCACACTCTGAACGGCACCTGCTCAATGCTTGTTCCCTCAGGCCCAGCTTATCCAAATGTTTCGTTGGCTAACCAAGTGTGCTCTACGGTCGGTGCCCAGCCGGGTCAAAATTATGTCGACGGGAATCTCTTCACGGAATTGTCTTATGATTACTACTACAGCAACCTTTGGAGGGTAAATCTATCAATGTTTCTGTGGCATAGGGATTCACTAATTCGGCTCTTCAGGACTTTGGTGTCGTCTGTGTTTTCTTCGTTGGCTTCCTCGTTATTCTGTTGACTGCGACCGAGTTCAACACCGCTTCTGCATTTGACACCGCTGTGACGCTTTTCAAGCAGGGTACCCGCGCTGCTGAGGCTGTTGATGAGTCTAAGGACGAGGAGAAAGGTGCTCATCCTGAGCCTGCTGGATCTTCGAGCACGGATGCCAGCCCTGCAGAACTCGATAGACCCTCGGCAATGGACATCTTCACTTGGAGGCATTTGCAATACACGGTTCCTATCTCCGGAGGAACACAACGTCGGCTCTTGGACGATATTTCTGGCTTTGTCGCTCCCGGAAAACTGACAGCCCTCATGGGTGAATCGGGAGCTGGAAAGGTGAGGTATTTGGATGTCCCAGTGTAATCACCGTCTAATATATATTTCTAGACTACACTTCTCAACGTCTTGGCACAGCGTGTTGATGTCGGTGTCGTGACTGGTGATCGTTTGGTCAGTGGTCAACCACTCCCTGCGGACTTCCAGGCACAAACGTACGTATACTGTTGAGAATTCGGGTGATCTTGAGTATTAAAGCAAATTATTTGCTAGCGGCTACTGCCAGCAAATGGACACTCACCTTCCACAATCCACCGTTCGAGAGGCTCTGCTGTTTTCAGCCCACCTTCGCCAGCCCCAGACAGTTCCTATGGCCGAGTTGGCAGAATAGTGAGTTGTTATTGTCTCCTTTGCCACTGGTTCATAATATTATCGCAGTGTCGACAAGTGTCTCGTCATGTGCGGCCTCGAGGATTATGCTGATGCCGTTGTCGGGTCTTTGGGCGTCGAGCACCGCAAACGTACGACTATTGGCGTTGAGCTCGCTGCTAAGGTTTGTCGTTGTCACGTTGCCGTCGAGCGATGTGCTGATAGCGTGGTGATATAGCCTAAACTTCTCTTATTCTTGGACGAGCCTACTTCTGGTCTTGACTCTCAGTCCGCCTGGGCCATCATGAAGTTCCTTCGCGAGCTTGCCAACAACGGCCAAGCCATCCTCTGCACGTAAGTCTCGTGTAGCGAGTGCTATAGCATATTGTCTCACAATCTTGATCTAGCATTCATCAACCTTCTGGAGAGCTGTTCCAAGTCTTTGACCGTCTCTTGCTTCTCAAGAAGGGAGGTCAGACTGTGTACTTCGGTGACATCGGCGAAGGGTCTTCTACCATGCTTGATTACTTTGAGCGCAACGGTGCCTCTCGATGCCATCCTGATGCTAACCCGTATGTGCTTCCTGGTTGTATCTTACCCTTCTCAACTTGACAACTTATTCTAGGGCCGAGTACATGCTTGATGTCATTGGCGCAGGTGCAACAGCGTCGACCTCGGTCGACTGGCACTCCATCTGGAAGAATTCACCTGAGGCTGCTACACTCCAAGAGGAGATTGAGAACATCCACAATGAAAGCCGCGCTCGCCCCGTCGTTCAAGCAGCGCGGCCTACCGAGTTTGCGACGTCGTGGTATCACCAGCTCGTAGCCCTGACCCAGCGTAACTTCCAGGCATACTGGCGGGATCCAACCTACATTATAGCCAAGTTCGCGCTTTGCATTGCTGGAGGGTTACTTATTGGCTTCACGTTCTATAAGACCAGCGATTCGCTCCAGGGTACCCAGAACAAGCTCTTTGTATGTGGCGTTTTGTATTACACGACGAAAATCCCTAACCTATTTGATAGGCGATCTTTTTAGCCTCAGTACTCTGTGTTCCCCTCTCGCAACAGCTTCAGGCAATGTTCATCAACATTCGGACTGTCTATGAAATTAGAGAACGCCCAAGCAGGATGTACAACTGGACCGCTCTCATTGTCAGCCAAATTCTGGTCGAGCTCCCATGGAACATTATGTGCTCGTCGGTCTTCTTTGTTTGCTGGTACTGGACTGTTGGGTTCCCCAACGATCGTGCGGGATACACATACCTCATGTATGGTGTCGTATTCCCCATGTACTACACAACTGTCGCACAGGCGGTCGCTTCCATGGCTCCAACCGCTGTGATCGCGTCACTTCTGTTCAGTGCGCTGTTTTCGTTTGTTGTCATCTTGTGAGTCAATGCAGATGCACTTGATATGACCTTGTCTCTTACTGTTTTATAGCAACGGTGTCTTACAACCATTCCGTGCTCTCGGTTGGTGGCAGTGGATGTACCGTGTCTCCCCTTTCACTTACTTCATCGAGGGTCTGCTTGGTCAAGGTGCGTCTTTCGAACGAAGTTGGTACATGATTCTTAACATTTCCTTTAGCTATTGGTGGCAATGATATTAACTGCGCTCAGCATGAGTTCGTCCCTGTCATCCCTCCCAGTGGATCCACTTGCTCCGAATACTTGAATCCATTCATGGAATATGCTGGCGGTTACCTCGCCGACCCCAGCGCCACGTCCACGTGTTTATTCTGCCCTTATCGCACGACCGACGACTATATGTTCGCCGCATTTAACATCGAGGCTTCTCACCACTGGCGCGACTTGGGCATCATGCTTGGTATTACCGTTTTCAACGTAAGTTCTCGCTGTTGTGTACTTTTATTGAGCTAATTGTGTGCATTGCAGGTTTGTGCAATTTTCACGCTCACGTACATCTGCCGCATCCGCAAGGGTAACCCCCTAGCCGGTCTGCAGCAGAAGCTTGCTAGTCTCCGGAAGTAATGCATGGTATTGATCTGAACCCTAATGACTTCATACACCCTCACTTGCATATGAATCCCTATTACATTCCTTTCTCATTCAAATATTCCATAATTTGTGTAATTTGATACCACACGCCTGCTGCACTCAGTGATCCTTTGCGTACTATCGTTTTCTGCCATTCTGACCACAGTAGAAGTAACCTCTGAAATACAATGGATTGACAGGACTACCACGTCGAATCGAGTCTGGACAACCTGCTGCCCCTAGAAGGAAGCAAAGAGCTCGGGACATTGGCGCTCGCCTGCGATACACGATATGACCTTGCAATGTCCCAATCTGATTCTGTAGACTTGGCAGGTTTCACAGTAGCCATGGAGTCATCGTGAGTGATGATGGGCGCGCTCCTGGTACGAGAATGATCTGAATGGCCGGGGACATTGAGAAGGTAGGGTGCGGAGGAAGCAGTGTCTTGGGTGGTGACGCTGTCGTGATCACGGTGCCTGAACGCAGTGTACGCGATTAGGTTGCTGAACCGGGTGCGCATGGTGGGCTTGGATGATGGTTCGTTGGGGTCATACAGACGCACGTCCTTGCGGGTCGGCTGGCCGGGAAACGAGAATGTCTTCAAGCTCTGGTGCTCCGTTTCTGTATCTGGCACAGGCACTTCAGAAGGGAACGGCCTCTCCCTGTGTCCCCAAGACTCCTGCGACAGCCGTAACTTGCGCTTTGCCTTCCGAAGGTACTCGAGAGTGTACTTGCCGATGGTGACGCAGACCACGAGAGCGAGGACAGAACTGACAACAATGGCGAGGACGAGGACATTGCGCTGAGAGGGATTTGATTGTGGCGCAGATTTAATATCAGGTGTGCTTTCGGAGACGTGGAGGCTGGGAGTCGGCGAGGCTGTCGCATGGGTAGTGGGGGAAAGGAATAAAGCAGTGGAAGCCGTAGGGGTGGTGTGCTGCTCGTATGGTGTGGGCATGGTTGCAGGAGCATCATTCCCCTTGAACTGGGCAGCGCCAATGATCATTGCCATTGCAGCTGAGGCGGGGCGGAGACCGTCAGGGCCGTGCGCTAGGGGTGGATCTGTGGGATTAACCCCGGTGAATGGGACGGTCTCTACCTGCTGTGCGTCATCTCTGGGTGAATCGATAGGACTACCGTGGGCTATGCTGATAAGAAGAAAAGATATGAAGATGGTTCTGAGGGACATCATCCGGGCGGGTAATGAACGTGGAATCGTCGTGGAAACGACGCAGAAAAAAATGATCGTGGTTGCAGGAACAAAGGAGGTAGTCTTATTCGCACATAGACTGTTTTCATACTAGTACTGTCCAGTGCAAGCTGGCTGACACCAACTTGGAGGATTTGCAAAGTGGCTGACAGACTCCGGAACGCGTCGAAAAACAAAGCACGTGGACAGAGATCAAACCGAAAAACAAAGCACGTGATATACACGTGCCTACACGTTCAAAATGCCACAAACCATGCTTATTGCTCAAAATCACACAATTGTTGTTTTCTTTTGCTTGCGCCTTCCATTTGCTCTCAGGTCGTTCTGATTGTAGTCCTCGCTGTGTGTCACGATGACCTCGATACCAAAAACACCATCGCGCTATAGATCACGTTCAGATGCAAAGACACCGCTCACCCCGTCTATCATCTCTGCCTTCAATAGTATCTCCATCTCCCCACACAAACGATCTCATCCTGCTGACCTCTCAAATCCGTTTATTACCAAATCGCGACAAGCTTCTCCCGTAAAACGCGCAACTGGAGGTGGCGTTATCGTCTCAGATTCATTTCACCGCCAAGCGGGTGGAGGAGTCATCAGAAAAGGCGGCATCGAGACCCGTTTGGATGTCGTTTCACGCGACTACTTGCCCCCTACATCACAGCCTAGACCAGAGCTCAAGCGCTCAAGGTCAACTCCTGCTACTCGGGAGCGCACGCAATCCACCGGTGACAATCGTGATCGTTTCATTACTACTCGTGAAACCGACGATGTTGCTGCCACGCTCGAACTCATGAGTCTCAACCCAAAAACCGTATCACCAGGACATACAGCTCGTCTTGCAGCTGCCACAGGTGTCCCTCTCAATCGCCGCGTGCTGGCTTACCACGAGGCGCCCCCAGCTTCATCTTCAGACTCTACGCTTTCCCAGCAGCGTGAACTAGCTCGTCCGCTCTACGGACGCCCAGGTGAACTCCCTTCTTCAACTAGCTCTACAACCAACAAGTCCCGCCGCATTCCCACTCAGCCCGAGCGCGTCCTCGATGCTCCAGGCATGGTTGATGACTTTTACCTCAATCTGGTGTCATGGTCTATCCAGAACGTTGTTGCTGTCGCCCTTGCTGAGAGCACGTATGTTTGGCGGGCCGATACAGGGATCGTCTCTCACCTTAGTGAAGCGCCTGAGGGCACATATGTCTCCTCTGTTGATTTTTCGAATGATGGTGCTTACCTTGGTATTGGTCTTGGTACTGGCGAAGTCGAGTTGTGGGATGTAGAAGCCGGACAGAAGCTCCGGACGATGGGTGGACATCAGGGTCAAATTGCTGTGCTATCTTGGAACGCCCATATACTCAGCTCTGGATGTGGGGACGGAAGTATATGGCACCATGATGTCCGTGTCCCTCGGCACAAGGTCATGGAGCTCCTTGGACACACAGGAGAAGTCTGTGGACTGAAGTGGAGAGCAGACGGCGAACTTCTAGCGAGTGGAGGTAACGACAATGTTGTCAATATTTGGGATGGACGCGTGGGCAATGTTACGGAGGGCGCGCGCGGGCAGGCCAAGTGGACGAAGCGGAACCATACCGCAGCTGTAAAGGTGGGCTGTAGTCTCAATTATATGTGGTATATCTAACACACTATGAAGGCAATTGCTTGGTGCCCCTGGCAATCTTCCCTCTTAGCCAGCGGCGGGGGCACAAACGACGCAACTGTTCACGTCTGGAACAGTGGTACCGGTGCCCGTCTACACTCCCTCAAAACGCCATCCCAAGTCACCTCCATCATCTGGTCACCGCATAAAAAAGAGATTCTCACGACACATGGGTACCCTACAAACGCAATTATGGTGCACGCGTACCCGTCGCTCGAGCGTATTGCGGAGATACGGGACGCACACGACTCACGGGTGCTGTATACAGCGGTAGGGCCTGCAGGCGATGTCGTGTGCACTGGTGCCGGGGATGAGAATCTGAAGTTTTGGAGGATATGGGAGGGGGTGGGCGCAAAGAAAAAGAAAGAAGGGAAAGAGAGGTCGAGTTCGACAAGGTCAGGGATTTTGTCGATACGGTGATCTGCAAGTTGTGCTGCGCATTCTCTTATGGAAGATTAACTATATACCCACCGAAGCTGTTACATGGACGTTACTCATGTGAATGAGTGATGAATATTTCACAAACTGCTAATTAAATTTATGCTGAAGCGACTCTAGCTAGTATAGAACATTAGACTGATTACAATTGTGAATGCCACAACCCTCGACATAGCAATGATATAGTTTCTATCTTCGACCCTTGAAAAGACTAAATATGTTGCCCCTCCGGATGCGGAATATATATGTGAAAGCAAATATGGCAAATACCTAAAAGTTAAAGCTCGTGAGCGCGCATGCAGGGCAGTCAAGTAAAGGAACGCACATTAAACACGACGATGCCCAGGACAATGCCCGTGTTTCGCCAGTGATGAGAATACAAGATGTTGAAATTGCTGAACATGAACTCATCGGTGGTGCGGTAAGGGCAGTATAGGCATTCAGTTGTAGCATTGGGGTTCGTGATGTAGCCCCCAGCAAGAGAAATGAAGGGATCCATATACGTCGCGCAACTGGATCCACTGGGTGGATTGACTGTCACTAATTCAGTTGACGCGCAATTGATCAGTTGTCCACCAATAGCTGAAAAACGCCTTAGTGAAGGTCATACGGAAGAGAACGTGCACTAACCTTGACCCAAGATGCCTTCGACGACATATGTGAATGGGGATACCCTGTACATCCATTGCCACCAACCCAACGCACGGAAAGGCTGCAAAACACCGTTACTTCAGAGGCATTAGCGATTGGACCCGTCAAAGAGCGAATTGAACACACAAGATGACGACGAATGAAAATACTGTGCTGAACAATAGCGATGCGATCACTGCGCTGGGTGCCATGGCTCCGACCGCCTCTGCGATAGTAGTGTAATAGAGGGGAAACACGACTCCATACATCAAGTATGTGTAGCCTGCTCGATCGGTGGCGAAACCAACCGTCCAGTACCAACAGAGGAAGAATAGCGATGAGCATAAGATGTTCCAGGGAATCTCGACCAGGATCTGCGACGTAACCAGAGCAGTCCAGCTGTACATTCTACTCGGTCGCTCGCGGATTTCATAGATGGAGCGAATGTTGATATAGACGGATTGTAGTTGCTGAGATATGGGAACAGAGAGAACAGTTGCTAGGAAAATTGACTTCACTGAAATTAGCACGTGACTTAACAGCGAGCATGGAAGAAACGCACAAAAAGCTTGTTCTGTGTTCCTTGCAAGCTATCCTTGGACTTGTAGAAGGTAAACCCTATGAGCAAACCACCCGCGATGTTGAGAATGATCTTCGCGATGAGGTACGTCGGGTTACGCCAGTACGCAAGGAAGTTGCGCTTCGTAAGGCTAACCGCTTGATGAATCCATGAGGTGGCAAATTCAGAGCGACGCTCCGTCTCAACCGATGGCCGTGCGCGACCTTCAGCGTGTATCCGTTCAATCTGCGCTTGAAGTTCAACAGCTTCGGGAGATCGCTTCCAAATGTCATGCCAGTCGACAGAGGTACTCGCGGTTGCGCCGGCCCCAATGGTATCCAGCATGTACTCAGCACTTGAATACCAACTTGAGTGACATTTCAAAGACGTAGACGAAATGACTTACGGATTAGCATTGGCGTCACAGTGAGTGGCCCCGTTACGCTCAAAGTAATCCAGCATAACCGATGATTTATCGCCGATATCACCGAAGTAAACAGTCTGACCACCCTTGCGCAGAAGTAATAGCCTGTCAAACACCTGGAGGAGTTCAGCAGACGGCTGGTGGATTCTGGTTACAACAATTAAGCGTCGCGATAAAATCCCAAATCTAGCACACTCACGTGCAAAGAATGGCCTGTCCATTGTTTGCCAGTTCACGAAGGAACGTCATGATTGCCCAGGCGGACTGGGAATCGAGGCCGGATGTTGGCTCGTCAAGGAATAAAAGCAGTTTGGGCTTTGAAGCTGTCAGCACGGCATCGAAAATGTGGCACTATAGTATGCACCTTTGCTGCGAGCTCAACCCCTATGGTAGTACGCTTGCGGTGCTCAACACCCAGTGATCCAACGACAGCATCAGCATAATTTTCAAGGCCGCACATAGTCAGGCACTTGTCCACGCTATCCACAACTTTCAGTTGTACGCGTACGGTGAATAAATGTGAACATACTATGATTCAAGTTCCGCAGATGGGACAGACTCAGGTTGTCGTAGGCGAGCGGAAAACAGAAGAGCCTCGCGGACAGTCGTTTGCGGCAAGTGAGTGTCCATTTGCTGACAATAGCCACTGCAAGGATTATCAACGAAAGATCTTGACCAGTAGCAAGTTGACTCACGTCTGAGCCTGGAAGTCTGCGGGAACGGGCTGCCCGTTGACGAACCGATTTCCCGTGACGACTCCGACATCGACCCGTTGAGCCAAAACGTTGAGCAACGTCGTCTGTGATAAAAAGTTGAATGAAGAATTCTGAAAATAGATGTGCGACGAACCTTTCCAGCGCCAGATTCACCCATGAGAGCCGTTAATTTTCCAGGTGCAACGTACCCAGAGACATCATCGAGCAAACGCCGTTCTCCGCCGGATACCGATACGACGTATTGGATGTGTTGCCAGGTAAATACATCAAGGGTTTCTGGCTTTTCGAGTGAACTATAGGGTGCAGGTGCGCCGGCGGTCTGCGCGGCACCACCATCCAAAGATGGTGGCCGGGTAGATAACTTGTCAAATTTCTCTTCGTCTTCCGTAGTAGCAGTAACTTCTATTGCACGCGTTCCTTGTTTGAAGAGAGTCACCGCGGTATCAAACGCGGAGTTCGTGTTGTACTCCGCGGCGATGAGCAGGAGCACGAAGAAGCCAATCCCAAAGGTAACGATGATACCATAATTCTGCAGAGTATGAGATCTCAGAAAGGACGATCGTGGTTATATAATCAACTTACTCTCCACAGATCGCTATACGAGTAGCCGTACGACATGTTCACAAACCTATTGCCGTCTACGGTGATCAAGCCAGGCAGTGATCCGACAGTCGTGCAAACTTGGTTCGCTAAAGAAACATTCTCGTAGCCTGGACCTTGGGGAACAAGTGTGCTGCAAGTAGCGTTCAGTGTGTGGAACTCGTTTGTCAGGACGGCCTCGAAGCCGTAACGAAGAGGCTTTACCAAGTGGTTAAACTCAAATGATACAGAGAGGGAA